AGTGCACTTACCTGCCAGTTTACGCGGGTACTGCTTTCGTCCCGTAAGCGCCCTTTTGTCCTCCGGAGCCCACGATGTATCCCTTTCGGGTCTGCTCTTTTAGATTCTGGGGAGCTGGGCGAAGACAACGAAACAAACGACGGGCTCACCCACCTCCACCTCTTCATCACCACTAGGACCCCTCAGCACCTCCGGAGAGGGAAGGGATCGAGAACAGCTACTCTCACCACCAGTTAGTGACGAACAGGGAAACCGCGCACAATCACTCCCTGTTTCGCTCGGCGTGCTCACTTCACTGTCACTAGCCGCAAAGTGTTCAAAGGTCTTGACACATTCGTGAAAGCGACAGAACTGTGTCTTTCCTTGTGCACAGTCCCTCAAAAAGTTTTCGGCATAATTGGCCAGAGTATAATACCCGCCAAGATACCGAAACTCGCGCACCTCTTTATCCAACAAAAATTGTTGGAGGTCCAATGCAAGATCCTGTGGATCCACATTCTCGTCCAGGTCCTCCCAAGTCACAGCCAGATTGATGAAACAGTTATCCATCTCATCCTCTAGCTGCTTCGACACTGTAGCCAACTTGTCTGCGGACCCAGTCGACAAATCCGCAGACGACCTGTCGTCTGTTGACGACGAGGGGAGAGCCAGGCCTACACCCCCCCCACGCCGGTTCCCGGTACCCGAACCCGGGACGTTCGCTTCCTTTCTTGAACTCATCATCTGAAAAAGAAAGAAGTTGGTTTTTTCTGTCAGGGGTTTTCCTTCCCCTTAGGAGGTTGCCTTACTCAGCTAACGGGCCCCCCCCCGGGTGTTATCTTCGGTGTTTTCCTTCACCTAGTGCAGTGGACAAGTCCTTTTTAGGGCCTGCACGCCCATCACGCCCCGTTCATCCATCACACACACTCCAGCTCGGGTACCTCGGGATTGCGACACCCGTACACTGCAGGGATGAGTCCACAGTGCCCCTGAGGAAAACGTTAAACGCCTAGGCCGGAAGGTAATCGGCTGTTCATTTTTTAATAAAATTTTCATCTCGGTTTCCGGTTCGCTCACATCTGAATCCCATTTATCAACGTATTCTTTGTTATACAATCTTCGAACGCTTTCGACTACATGCGATTCGACACCGGGATTAATATTCAATTCTTCTCCAACTTTTACAGGATTTTTGAGATATTCTATTTGCATAATCTCGGTATCAAAATTGTTCTCGCTTGTCGACTCGTTTCTCCTAGTAATCTTTACCGTTTTACCTAGTTCGATTTTTATTAACGGATCTCGACAGAAATCGCGACCAAGTAATGCAGCACACGACATTGTTTCGTTCGGTACTACCAGAAAACGTAGCTGAATATTAATTCTTTCGATTTCGACTAATTTCGAAAAGGTGCCTACTACGCGAACAGGGGATTTATTTATTCCACAGAAACAATCGCTGTTAGGAGGTAGCGGTTCGCGCAAACTCGTCGGAACATACTCAGTTTTTATGAGGCTCACTGGGGAGCCGGGATCAACTATCGCGTCTACTGTATATTCACGATCCATATCCCCTTCAAAGGACACCGAAAACTTTAACTGTACACAATACGGATCGCTAACGGATATCGGTTCGATCAAGTTCACAACGTTCGTCGACTCGGGTTTCGACTCTTTCTCGGGACAGTCTTTTTTCAAGTGGCTGGCTGAACCACATCGATGACAGCCTCCCTTAACTTTCTTCGGGTGTGAACATGCGGATGCCAGATGTCCAACTCCCTGGCAGTTATAACATTTAATTATCTTTCGGCGTGGTGCCAAATCTGCACTCGACGATGCTGGATTTCCTTTAAACGCTGAACTCTCCTTCGTCGACAATTTCCCATCCTTTTGGATTTTTCCTTGATCAATAGGTTTCTTCCATTCGCGATCAGGGAACTTCTTCGGGTGTAGCGTCAATCCTTTAAATGCCTCCAATAAATCCGACTGAGACTCGAACTGCATAATACGTGCTTGATCTCTGAGATTGCGATCAGGTATACCCTCGATGACATAATCGACAACTTCGTCATCTACTATCGGTACCCTATTAGCGAGGATTATTTTATCATGGAAGTAACTCGTGAATGATTCGTCCGTCCGCCATGCTCTCTCTTCGAGCTTCTTGCGTAGGGACAATCTTGATTGACGAAGGTCGAACATTCCCTTCATGGCCGCCAATAGATTTTCTATACCAAGGGTAAGATGATGTGGTTTGGAGTGAAACCACTCGGATGCACGTCCTTTTAATTTGGAGCTTATTAAAATTCTTGTCGCAGCATCATCCAAGGCGTACGACACTCGCAGCAATTGTACCTGCTGTTCCCATTTCCAGAACGTACCCTCACTGCCGTCGAATTCGCTCAACAAGTCGCGAATAGCCCTTACACTTTCGCTCATCGGTGGACCATTACGTCTTCTTCCGTCATCATTCATCTGCGGTGCTCCATGATCTTCGATGTTCTCTTGTCTAACGATATCTAATTCACGTTGAAGAAGAGCTCGTTCTCTTCTAAGTAGTTCATTTTCTCGTCGAATCAAGTCATTCTCAGTCAAAGGACCTTCAACGGATGCGTCGTTACTTACTTGGCTTTCATTGTCCTTGCCCGCGACGGCATCCCTCGATTCATGGCCCGCGTCAATCGGCTGATCGACACCGCGGCTCTGCCGTGACCTCTGTTCATCCAGTGTGGTCCATATCTCCGGGTCATTGGCAGTCAATCGATCTATCAGGTCAGCTTTGTTACCGGTCGCCGGCAATTTCTTCTCGCGGAGAATGTCCTTAATTCGGCGAGCGTATACGCACTCGGCGGTCTCGCCATTGTTAGTGACACACTGCACCTCCCTTTTCTATACGTCCTAGCACACAGCGACGTGTTAATAAATGTTTAACCTCAGTCTAAATGTTCGCGACACACGTCGGCACAATTAGCACACAGCAAAGATTCGCGGTACACAGCGCGAATTACCGTCAAAATATTCGCGACACACAGCGCGGAATATTCTATCTCACAGGGATATCGCGTTACGCGTCGATTCACCGCGCGCGATACGTGGACTCGCTTTCTCTCGTACGCGGCGGAACAATTAGCACGCAGCAAAGATTCGCGGCACACAGCGCGAATTACCGTCAAAATATTCGTGGCACACAGCGCGGAATATTCTGTCTTTTAGCACGCAGCAAAGATTCGCGGCACACAGCGCGAATTACCGTCAAAATATTCGCGACACACAGCGCGGAATATTCTATCTCACAGGGATATCGCGTTACGCGTCGATTCACCGCGCGCGATACGTGGACTCGCTTTCTCTCGTACGCGGCGGAACAATTAGCACGCAGCAAAGATTCGCGGCACACAGCGCGAATTACCGTCAAAATATTCGTGGCACACAGCGCGGAATATTCTGTCTTTTAGCACGCAGCAAAGATTCGCGGCACACAGCGCGAATAACCGTCAAAATATTCGTGGCACACAGCGCGGAATATTCTGTCTTTTTGCACGCAGCAAAGATTCGCGGCACACAGCGCGAATTACCGTCAAAATATTCGTGGCACACAGCGCGGAATATTCTGTCTTTTAGCACGAGCAAAGATTCGCGGCACACAGCGCGAATAACCTTCAAAATATTCGTGGCACACAGCGCGGAATATTCTGTCTTTTAGCACGCAGCAAAGATTCGCGGCACACAGCGCGAATAACCGTCAAAATATTCGTGGCACACAGCGCGGAATATTCTGTCTTTTAGCACGCAGCAAAGATTCGCGGCACACAGCGCGAATAACCTTCAAAATATTCGCGACACACAGCGCGGAATATTCTATCTCACAGGGATATCGCGTTACGCGTCGATTCACCGCGCGCGATACGTGGACTCGCTTTCTCTCGTACGCGGCGGATCAATTAGCACGCAGCAAAGATTCGCGGCACACAGCGCGAATTACCGTCAAAATATTCGTGGCACACAGCGCGGAATATTCGGTCTTTCAGCACGCAGCAAAGATTCGCGGCACACAGCGCGAATAACCGTCAAAATATTCGTGGCACACAGCGCGGAATATTCTGTCTTTTAGCACGCAGCAAAGATTCGCGGCACACAGCGCGAATAACCTTCAAAATATTCGTGGCACACAGCGCGGAATATTCTGTCTTTTTGCACGCAGCAAAGATTCGCGGCACACAGCGCGAATAACCATCAAAATATTCGTGGCACACAGCGCGGAATATTCTGTCTTTTTGCACGCAGCAAAGATTCGCGGCACACAGCGCGAATAACCTTCAAAATATTCGTGGCAACAGCGCGGAATATTCTGTCTTTTAGCACGAGCAAAGATTCGCGGCACACAGCGCGAATAACCTTCAAAATATTCGTGGCACACAGCGCGGAATATTCTGTCTTTTTGCACGAGTAACACAAGACACGGTTTTCTCTCTCGCACGACACAACACTTGGTCGTACTTTTCAAAGTCCCGTGTATTAACCTCACAGATCCTTCGCTAACTTCTTCTTTGATTCCACTTCTGAAGTTGTAGGTGGTGTCAGGATAGTTTTAGATGATGTCAGGGCGTAATTCTAATAAGGCTTCTAGTGGATCTTAACAAAGGATCTTTATTAGGTTAAACTGTACTCGATAGGACACGCACGACGGCTCACTGCCGTATATCTGTCCAACCGCTCTCCCCTTCCGCGGGAACTGACCTTCTTAACCTTCTCCCTTCTTTCTTACGCAGCGCCGCCAGCGGCAGAGGGGGGGGGGAGAGGAAACGTAATTCGCCGCTCACGCGTGTATATAAATGAATATCGGTAGAATAATAATTCGCCTACAATAACCTATAATATTTGATCAAAATTTGATTCAGAATATAAGTGTTCAAACTTATTATTAATTATAATGTATATGCAATTATAATTTTATTTGTAATTTTTTACAGATCATATATTTGCATACTCTCTATTGCAACAAGCGAAAAATATGCAGCTGGAGAAATAAAAGATATTATAGATTCAGAAACAGGTTTATTTTAATACTTAATTTAATAACAATGATAATGTTCCATTTGTGATATCGCATTCATAAGATTGTCTGATGTATAAAAGATATACATGTTTACAGATGACACAACTAATTGCAGCACTGCAAGTAATTTAGATATGAGTGAAACTTCAGATACGAAAGGTAGTAGTGAAAGTAAATATGAGTAAAAGTTAAAATAAATATTTTTTCAAGAAAACAACATTATTCTGTTTAGATCAACATATATGGACTCGTGCTGAAACACTGTTACTTATTACTTTATATAAAGAACACGAAGAAATGTTCAATAATCCTAAGATGTCTGCGAAACAGTGTTGGAATAATATTTCCAAGAAAATGAAAGATGCAGGATATCATATATCTGGAATTAAATGGTACTACTAAATTCCAGTGTTAAAAAGAACATATAAATCTGTTACTGATCATATTAAAAAATCAGGAAATAATAGGAGGAAATGGGAATATTATGAGGTATTACTAATTAGAAGTACTATTTATAATTTATATCAATTTATATATAATTTTTAACTTTAATTCATAAATCATACTGATTATTCTAGACATTCTTTTATATATAGTGATTGTGTTTAATCACATTGTGTCCAAATGTATCTTTTCTTATTAAAAAGCAATATTTTTCTTTTTCATCTTTTTTGAAATTTTTATAATTGTACAGATAATTAGATTAATTAAAGATAATTTTTCTGATATAGGTTATGCATGAGATATTTGGAACAAAACCTTCCTTACGAAAAGGAACTATTGCCGGCCGTGTGATTATTACACGCGGCTGTGTGATTATTACTGATGGCTCTGTAATTATCAAGACGAATATTATTGCCTCTATAATAATTACTAGCAACGGAATACAGACGAATATTACTCGCCTGTTGGGTATCACTAGAAAGATCACTGCATATGTAATAACTACTGAGGGTACAAATTACACGCAAATATTACTGGATGTCGCTCATGATTAATTCTATTATATAATATAAGCAGAAATATTGAAAATGTTATTGCAAATATAAAAACTTTAAAATTTTGTTATGCTAGAAGGTTTAAATATTTCTTTCAAATAAAGCAGCAAAATATTTTTGCAAAGATACAAATAATATTAGGTGTTTTTATATATGAATAATGTAAATTTAATTAAAAAATAAATGTTTTATAAATATATAGTATAAATTATTATTTATATATTTAATAAGTTTTTGCTTTTATTTATTTTAATTATTTACGAAAGATTTTATTGAACGTTTTTTAATGTCTAAAATATTTAAAAATTAATGTTCCATATTTTCTGCAATAAATAATTTTTTACAATGTTAAATTTTTTACAATGTTAAAATTTACAATGTCACAAAGTGAATAACGTACAATAAGTTACATACTATCAACGTTATTTTTTATTTGGAAGAAAAGACTTTTAATACAAATGTTAAAACAATTATTGCTTTACATGTATAGATTTTTAAATTTACATTTTTTTACATTTTTACTTTACATATGTTTTTTACATTTATATTTTTCATTATAAACTTATTTCATAATTCTTATTATTTATATAATTCAATCAGTTTCTATATTATTTACAAGAGGTATTATGCATCGCTTATTATTATCATAATTAATATTGTTTGTGGAATAAACAGGAATATTAATACATTTCTTTCTAATCGCAGAAGGAAATACACATTTAATAATGTCTGTTTTTTCTATAACGTAAGAGAAAAGATTTAACGTTATATTCCTATTTTTACATATTTCATCACCACGCAGTGTTTGCAATACCTTACAAATTAACAATTGTTTTTTATGCCTGCTGATGTTTCTGCTATACATAGATATTGAATATCTAATAACGATCTATCTGTAGTTAAAATTGTACTGTTACATCTTTTTTTTAGTTGAGTACAATTGGAACCATGATAGAGAATATTTTGGTATATAAATCGCTGATAAGCTAGTGCTTTGTTTTTAACTGATTCTCCCAAAAATTGTTCGACAGTTATTTTTTCTATTAATGATAACTCTATGATAATTGCAGAACCAAATGCTCGCAAAGAATTTCCATATTCCATGCATCTTTTAATTCGACATTCTTTTATAATAGAATCAAAAAGATCCTTTCCTTTTTTACTACAATTAAGCTGATCAAAAACTGAACTTTGTTTTACGTATCTTATACGAGAATAAAATTTGCAGATTTGTTCCGGAATATATTGAGTGCCGTTAAAAAGTGATTGTATAGTATGATTAAAATCTTCATACGGAAAAGTTGACCATGCCCACAAAGCGCCAAATTGTTTTACAGCTTTTGGAATATGTAACATCAAGTGTATATTGTAGTTCATAAACATTGCTCCATACAATTTTTCAATATCAAGTACAAATTTTTGGAGCGCAAACGTAGCTATGATAAAATTATTAGGAGATATTGTTGTACTTAGAAAAACATGCATACTGTAAACTAGTAAACAACCAATGCTGTACATATTTATTTGGCATTAACCCTTTTAAACATATGAGAGAATAATATAAAGCAAAATTTTTGTATTCTGCACCTTTCCACAATCTCCGTTGTGTTATGGATTGAGGTGTTCTAGTTATTTTGGAGGTAGGTTTCATGCTCATTAATCTTTTATCAAAGAGCACTTCGTGCTTACGTAAGGACCCAATCTTCTCACGATTGCATAGAATCAACCATGCCATCAAAATTGTTTAATTCAACCTTCTGCCAGGCTGTGCAAATATTCCGGCGAAATGATGAAATGACGTTAAACAGTGGTATAAGTGTAACAATTGATGGCCATTTGACGCCCTTAACTGGTTTATTTTTTTTTTAACTTTTTTCAGCATGACGCACGTAATGGCTCTGTTTACGTAAAGTACATATATTGCCACAGTATACTCGTTTTCGCCTATTTTGTTTCTATACAAATTTGTTTTCCTTTATGATAACAATATGGGCACCCATACTTTCCATTATACTGCTTTATCCCTGAATGGCTGATCTGGCAACAGAATCAACCGGAGCAAGCAAGTATGGACTTTTATAAGAATTGGTTCTTGGTAAATGATGTCGTGCTTTCAAAGCCATTAAAATGTAAATCTATCAGTTCTTCAGAAAAGGTTGGAGAAAAACATTCATTGGAGTTTACTTGATTGGAACCATAAACCAGTTAGCAATATTGTTGTTTTCGAATACGATAAGGCAATTCATTAATTGTTACAAAATTGGCCATAAAGAAGATAGGGAAGAATTAAAAAGTTGTACGCCATCTGTATTCCATTCAATAGTATGTCATTTTCCCCTATATTTTTTCTTTTCAGTTTACGGTACACTTTACCATTGATAACGTCACTTTCCTTGTCGTTTTCCTGTCGAAATTGCATAAAAAACCTTAGAATTAACTAACTCGATTAGTTGCTCTTTCACAGCGGTATATATATAAAAATTTTCCATCTTTTTTGATGTGATGGGTTATACTGCTCAGAACAATTATCGCATTTTACAGTAATGCAGTCATTGTCAACATGTAAAATAAGTATACATTGTGGACAAAAGTAATATACATGATAAGTCTGCTTTGGTACAGATTTATAAAATAGATATTTCGAACCGTGATATGTGCGAGGAAGATGACAATCAATTGGTTTGGAATGAAAGATTGTAATGCTGCATCAGTGAATGGACGTAAGGCTACACTCATTATTAGAAGTACACTTTCTTCTTTTGTTAAATCGCAGCCCTCATATAAAACTTGTCG